CGTCTCCTCGCTCCTCCGTCCTCCCTCCTATGACCCGGAAACCGATCGAGCTCAGCCATCTTGAAGGACATCTCAATTCTCTAATTGCACCGTGAGGAGTCGAGGATCGAGGAGTGAGGAGGCTTCCTGAGGAGTCATAAGCGAGGATACACAGGTGCATCCTACGCGGAACTGTTATATTGACTAAACGTGACGCACGTGTCAATTCTCCTCCCCCTTCACATCGGTCACAATCATTTTAATTTATACTTTACCTTTGCAGTTTATATAAACCACACATCTCAGATATTTCAATAGTATAGCCTATCTTTATTATTATTTATTATGAATTTATTAAATAACCAAAATTCAACATCATAAGGGCAGATCCTTTTAGCACTGCTGATGACACTGTGGAGTGACGCTCGAGTGATCAAGTATTCCAATGTATATAAAAAAGCTTTTATTCGATTCCTCTGTCCTCCTTTCCTTTCCTCGCTTCCTTCCCTCGCGTCCTACAGGGGGTGGAGCTGAGACGCAAGGAAAGGAATCAAGGAAAGGAAACGAGGATGCACAAATAAGAAATGAGAATTAAGCACCCTTACAGTACAGGATCGTTTGGGGAGAAGTGATTGTGGGCGCGAGCGCTGTGGAGTATGCATACTGCACAGGAGTCTTTTGCAGAGAGGTCAACATGGAACATTTATTGATCGGCGAAAATGCATCACCATGCACCGTTCATTTCGGATGCTGTTCGGTGAGAGAAACGTGTTGGGGGAGGCTATGCTGTCTATAATGGATGTCCGAGCTGAGACGCGAGCGCCCTATCAGTAGCAGGGTATTTTACGAATGGCGACTAGGCTGGGCTAACTTGTTATACTTTTCTCGTACTGGCAGTTCACTCTATGGGCGAGGGTGCATTTAGAAAGGAGAATCCCATCCTTTACCGTGAACTATACATCAGGAATCTTTTCCCCCCAGCCGAATATCAAGGATTCGTGTAACGTTAACGTGATGTGTTGAACTTGTAACTTGTGTAAATAAAACATTTAATGCAGACATTGTCAGACGTTTCATGTACTCATTGACGAAAGTACATATCTCTAGGAAGTGCATCAATGTCAGGTGCTAGTTCACGAATAAATGTCTTTGGCCTTACTACTTTATCAGATGTAGCTTTAAGGGTTTCTGCAGTTGCGGCGGCCCTTGCTGCACCACCAGATGCATTCAGAAACACTACGAGCTGGTTCATACATGGACAATACCTGAAGTTTGGCTTCAGCAGCAGCAATAGCAGTTTGGAGCTCTAAATTTTCCTTCTTCGCCTTTAGCTCAGTTTCCTCTCTCTCAAGCTCTTGTTTCTGCTTCAACGCATTAGCTCGTGCCAACAGCTCTGCCCTTTCAGTTTCAATTTTCAGTCTAGAAGAAGCTGTAGATGAAACACCTGAGGCCACCTGACTACCAGATTTTTTCGGAAAAAGAGGCAGTTGTGAAGAAGAGATAACCATTGAAGCACTGTCAGTACATTCAACCTCTGCATCAAACTGCTCTGCCTCTCTGGATTGGAGTTTTACCTTATCAATCCAGTCTTTAACCTCATCTACAAGTGCTTAACTCCTTGAGACTTCGGTTCGAACCAGTGTAACTGATCTAAATATGCCTCATCATCTGACATTAGTTTTCTGATTGAATTATTAATGTCTTGGAATGTAACAAAAGACTGTGCAAACTCACCATTTATGCATTCATACACAGTTTCAACATTACCAGAGTCCTCAAGCAAAGTTTCAATTTCTCTCATTTGTCTTGTTAAATGTCCCAACTTGGATCTTCTATAGTTCCCAACAACTGATTAAGCCGTTCCTTGTGCTTTAACAGTCATCTTCGGCACTCTTTTAGAGGTCGCGTTTAATTCCTCTGTTTCCATAGTTGTTCGTGCTCAAAGCGTGCATTGCGTTCATCACAAAAGCAGATGAGATCGCCCTCTTGCAATACTGAGTGGAGACGCAACGATGGCTGTCCCATGACGCAGCAAAGTTCAATAATCCAAAATCCAACAATATTCCCAAAACGTCCTAAGGTTGAAAGTTCGCGAAAGTCCGATCGGCCAAATACCTTATGCCTGTAATCACAATAAATGCCGTCAGAGAATCCCAGACGCGAATCCCGCGATAATCCGTTTGAATCCAAACGACGTTATGGTCTCTGGTGATGCGTTAATCACTCGATAATCTTCTCGTTAAAACAAAAGTATTCTCAGTTTCAGACAAAAAAGAGATGTTTTCTTACAAAAATGTGAATGCAAAGTCCTAGGTTCACTTCTTGTATTTGCAGGAAAAGCAGTTCTTACTCGTCACAGAAGTCAGCCAAAGATCCGTAAACAGGTGCGAGTTTAATCAAAACATAAAATTACACAAATATACAAAATCCTGTAGACTCCTGTAGCCTATGATGTCACTTCTTAAACCTCTAACTTGTGTTACCTTAAACGTTAAACACGAGTTTTATCCATAAATGACAAATCAAAACGGTAAGAAACATAATATTTGTATCTTTCTTTGAATTTTTGATATTTCCTGTGTTTTCTGATGTATAACATCTGTTCTGTTTCTTTAATGGTTACGCCCTCTAGAGGGTGGTGGAGGGGAGGAAGTGTGCGACCTAACTTCCTCCCCTCCACCACCCTCTAGAGGGCGTAACCATTAAAGAAACAGAACAGATGTTATACATCAGAAAACACAGGAAATATCAAAAATTCAAAGAAAGATACAAATATTATACCTTCAGTTAGTGCTTGCAAAATCAACACTCCAAGCAAACAACACTAATACACAAATTATTGAAATAATAAAATTGGCTCTTACAATAGGCCTTTTTCACGGAAGTTAGAATGCACATCCGGTTCAGCGTTTGTTGTGTAAAGGCACTTCCGGTCGTAATAACAATGGCTGAAGCTACATTGACCTGTCACTGTAGTGTTCCTCACTGCAAAAGTAATAAACAGCGGCAACCATATTTCAGTTTTCATGGTTTTCCCAGCAATAATTGTCTGAGAAAAAAGTGGATACATGCTATAAAACGAGTAGAAGGACCGAAGTTTACGATCCTCAGAGGCAGCACATTTGTTTGTAGCCGACACTTCAGTGATGATTTCACTGCCGCTACTGGTCGTAAGCGCCTCAGAAAAGGGGCTGTCCCGTCCCGCTTTATGTGGAACAACTGGGGAGAAACTTCACGTGAGTCTGTTTACGAACGTGTTGGAGTTCAAACCATACCATCCGACGATCCCCAAGACGATGATGAAGTAGTTACTGAAGTGGCAGCTAAAGCAGATCATGACTATGCAGTCACTCCTCTTCCAGGTATGTTTATGCATTTCTGAAAACAAATTATGATGCAACTTTCCAGTTATAGTATATTAAATATATAATTGAAGCCTTAATTACATGTATGTTCTTTCACTTTCAAGTCATAATAATAATATCAAGAATAATATAATTTTATTAAATGTTGACAAAAATTACTGTTCCAGGAAGATATCAGCATACTTGTTTTCTTATATTAATGTTGCCACAACTAAGCAGTAATACAGTTAAGATAAAGTCTTAAAATGACCACTACAATAAACATTTGTTTTGAATCATAATAAAAGACAGATAATTATATATACGAATTTGTAAATCAGGCTGGTTGTATTACTGCACAACACCTTTGAGATATGGACACAGGGTCTGAGTGTGCAAAGATCTAATTTTGGGTGTAATATGTAGCTATAATAATATTTGTTTACATAAGTAATTAATAATGGTTTGCCACTGTAATAAACGTTTTTTTTGTGTGTGTGTGAATCTAGGTGCTCAGGATGCAGCAGCTGCACGAATACAGGATTTGGAAGCGGAAGTCAGAAGGCTGGAAAGTGAGATTATGCAGCTGAGAATAGGTCACTCTCTGTCCCAGTTTCAGAGATTCTGTGCTTCAGATGAAGACATACATTTTTACACCAGGTTTCCATCTGAAGAGGTCTTCCAAGCATTCTGGAAGGCGATTGAGCCCTCAGCAAGTCAGCATCCATGTTAGTTTACTGGTCTAAGGCCCAGAAGAAAGGACAGGCAACTTCTGTGGAAGCTTCTCACAGTCATCACCGCAGCTTGCCACTGATTGATGAGTTTTTTTTGTACTCCTGTCGTGTTGCTGCAGGACTGAAGGAGAAAGTGTTGGCTGACATTTTCAAAGTTAGTGTCTCCACTGTTAGCCGCATCATAATAACTTGGGCTAGCTATCTTTATCTTGTCCTTGGATCACTACCCATATGGATGAGCAGAGAGCAAGTGAAGGCCACCATGCCAGAAAAATTTAGGCAGTTCTGTCCAGAGGTGAGGGTCATCATTGACTGCACAGAAATACGATGCCAGAATCCATCTTCACTCACACTCCAGTCTGAGGTGTTCTCCTCATATAAAAACACCACTACCTTCAAGGGGTTAATCGGTATTGCTCCTTGCGGAGCAGTTACTTTTGTTTCCAGCCTGTACACAGGTTCCATCTCCGATCAAGAGTTGACGAAACAGTCAGGGATTCTTGACTTGCTGGAGCCTGGTGATGCTTGTATGGCTGACAAAGGATTCACCATGGAGAAGATGCTGGCAGAACGGGGGGCCAAACTCATCATACCACCTTTTAAAACAGCAGCTCAGTTCAGCAAAGAAAATGCGGAGAGAACACAAGCCATAGCTCGTCTTCGAATTCTTGTTGAGAGAGCCATCAGAAGAGTGAAGGAGTTTCACATCTGGGACACCACTGTACCTTTAACCCTGTCTGGAACAGTTAACCAGCTGTGGACTAACTGCTGCTTAATGAGTAATTTTCAGTGGCCACTTGATGTTAAAGGTCACAAAGGGGTATGTACATCTTAGCCTTTTTTATTTTAAAGGGATAGTTCTTTAAAATACAAATTCTGTCATCATATACTTACCCTCAAGTTGTTTCAAACCTTTATGAACTTTCTTCTGCTGAACACAAGGGAAAATATTTTGAAGAATATCCAGACTATAAAAAATTCCAGACTATCTTTTTTTTTTTTTTTACAGGATTAGTAGTATACAGTGCAAATAGGCCTATTACATACCCCCCTTAAGAAATTCATCCATGTAAGCACCAAAGTAGTAAAGGTCCAGATTTTCTCGCATCTGGGCTATCATGACATTATCCCTCCACACTCTTTGAACTGTCATGTCCTCTTCAGTGTCAGTGATGAAGTCACACCAACTGAGTCCAGTTACAGCCAGCTGACCTTGAACCTGCCAGTAATATTTGTGAGATTTTTTCAGGGTTGCCTGTCCATTCACAATTTTTATATGCCCAACCTCAGAAACTGTAGGAACATCTGGGCATTTCACTTCAGCAAGCCCGAAACAGGGATCTGCATTAGGGTCATAAACTTTGGCATCAGGACTGCCACCAAGGTAGGACGCATCTGGGTGCACAACGAAACCACAAGGTGAGACATTCACATTAAACAGTTCAGAGTAACGTTCCAGCACCTCGGGTTCCCTGTCAAGGCCTCTTTTCATTGCCCTAGTTTGCTTTACACCCCTGAGTATCTGCCTTGCCAGTGCCTGGCCAGATGTCTTCCCTCGCACATGAGAAACCTCATAAAATCGGCTCGCAGTCACTCTAGGCTTGCGCATGCTTTTCCACAGTGTTCGATTGTTCCTGAGTCCGCTCCTCTATTATAACTGCCAACTCTTGTGTGACACTTAAGCTCTCCAAATGGAATAACTGGTGACAGTTTGGCACGAAGTGCAAGCTCCTCAGAAATTTAGAACCATTAATAGGGAGTTTAGGGTACACAGGAGCATCTGGATGTTTAATGTAGTTCTTGGTCACAACAGGACGGGATTGGTAGGAGAGCACTGATCCTCGAGGCACAGGACCAAATCTGGAGTCCACCAAAACCAGTTCTGAAAAACCGGTAAGGACGCAGGAAATCAAAGGTTGGGGAGTGAGTCCTTTGACAGCTTCTCCAATAGCCAATACTGCTGGGTCAGGGAAGTGACCTAAAACAAATTATACATTTAGGAAACTTTATCACATGGGTATTACATTTTTTATGTGCTGTTATACCATGATCTGTCTGAATACTTGATTCTTATTGGCTGGAAGTGTGCAGTAAAACAGTTTAATCCACAGGTAGTTCCAGTCAGTTTAATCATTGTTCTATGTTAATGTGCTACTTTCAATAAACCAGAGATAGGAGATCTCTATCACACCAAATTTAATTACTAAAAGTCTTTCTCAATTAAAATACATACTATAATTAATGTGAAAAAACTGTGAACCTCCATGTTATACATTAAAATATTTTTATGCACAGCTTTATTATTTCTTATGTAATCTAAAATATACATATTTATTGAATGAAAAGTTTCTTTGTTACCAGTGTATGCTCTGTAGAGTGTAGATTTGCATACACTTCTGGAAGACGTCTTTGGCTTTCTGACCACTAACTGATCTGTAGTCTCTGCAGAAATCCCCTGAAAGCGAAACTTTATAAGTATATTTTAACTAACTGTCAGAAATTTGCTAAACTAATGTATAGCTAGTTGTAATGTTACCTGTGTTCTTGGTCTATGCCATGTTTGCAGAGTGTCTGTGCATGCCGTAGATGGTGGTACTGTCTGCATCTGCATCATGCTGAAGTGCGCAGTTTGAAAAAGCATTGCAACCAGATGATTGCATAAAGCTTTGCCTGCAGTACATGTGCATGACGAGCTAGTGAACTCAACAGGCAAGGTGTCAACATTCAAAGTGATCTAAAGAAAAAGACAAAATCCAATATCAGTATATTTTAATATAGCAAGTTTAATACTAGATTATAGACCATTTCACAAGATGTAAACACTGGTCCAGAAGCACTTCCTGTTTCAGTTTGTAACCGTTTTCTTTATTTCACATGTAAACATCTTAAAGATGTTTGTTTAACTTTTTGATTCAGTTTTAAATGTTCTGTTGGTTGTATTTTATCCCAGCTTTTATGTAGTGTTAAAAAACTGAAACAGGAAGTGCTTCTGGACCAGTGTTGTTTACATCTTGTGAAATGGTCTATATATAGAACATTCATGAGAACATCATGAAAAAATGAATTTATAGGAGAAACCCCCTCAAAATAGAAAATTGCAACCGCAGTAAGAAAATAAAAACTTCCCCTTTTACTGTAAGCTTCATAGTTTCACAGACAAGACATTATACAATTCAGTCTCAGACTAAAATGTATGTTTGAGCTGTTTTAACTGAAAGCATATCTTAAAATAAGCCAGTGTCATTCTTTTGTCTCAAGATGCATACCAGTAAGGTTTTTCTTTCTAAGGCATATTTATTAAAAGAAGAAAAGCTACTTAAACGTTCTAATTGAACTAAAACCTGGCTAAACCCTGTCTGTGAAACCAAGCCTTCATTTCTTATCAAACCTGCAGAGAATGAGGCTCCTCACGCTTCCTCATCGACCTATAACACCTACATCTCACGATAATCTCCCTGTTTCTCACACTCGACGCTGAATATTGCATGACAAAAATGAACAATCACATTAAAGATTATTAAGACACATTTTCGGACTATTTTTTATCTGTTTAAAAGACTCTTCAGTCTATAAGCTGGTAAATAATTTATTCAAGAACTGCTATAAAGGCAAAACAATCTCTATTATTTTAAACTAGCCTATCCTTGTATCTCTGTAAACCCGCTTTGGAACAATCTGCATTGTTAAAAGCGCTATATAAATGAAGATGCCTTAACTTGACAATGTTATAAAGGTATAGAAATATCACTTTAGCAAACGCATGCGAATGTATGCTTCGTTCCTTACCTTCGTGATTAAAGATGTAATTTTCGTGGAAGAATTTGTAGCCTTTGTTGAGTTTTGAGTGCGGGGCGATTGAATTAAGTTCGACAAGACGAAAAACATCCGCTGAAGTCATTGACGGTATATTTCTCAGGGAAGTTGTGAAGAGCGCGTCTGACTCCATTTCACCGGAAGTGTCTTTACACAACAAACGCTGAACCGGATGTGCGTTCTAACTTCCGTGAAAAAGGCCTATGTATCTCCCTTTGATCTTTTCTAATCAGCATCACCTGTGCAATCAGCTTTCCTATTTAGACAGAGGCCAAAATAGCTGATACTTGGCCTCGAACAAACCTCCCTAGAGGCAAAACTATAGGTTGTATCGGCGAAATGACCTGACCGTGAGCGAGACAAGGCCTTTGTGAACGATGTGATGTATTTTTTGTGTGGATAGAGTTGAAAAATGGGACCACTTTGGCAAGTTAAAAAACTGGTTTGTAATGCTCTGATCACAAAAGTTTGACCTGAATTTATAATTGCTGCCAATGGAGGATTGTCAGTCACTCTTGTCCTTTGGAAGGACACAGAGAAAAAACTATAAGTCCCAGGGATTTACTAAACACACGAGAGGAACCACAACAAAAATACCTACGTTTCAAGTATAATTTTATGCCTGAAGAGTGAAAATTGTAGCCAGGCCAGCGATTTAAAAATTATTTTTTAGCATTAGTTTTCAAGCTGGCTCACTCTAGCTTATGACATCACGTGCTCTAGCTCTGAACAGTCTCTCTCATTCACTCCCATTATAATTTCAGAAACGGCTTGAAAAACATCATCAGACTAAAGTAGAGATTGTGAAAAAGTATAATAGATATCAAAAAGTTGAATACAACTTTAATAGCTTACAAATGTCACGTGTCTGTCCTGTCGTGTTAGCACATGGGTGGTTTTGTTATGTTGAGCCATGTGCTCCTGTCATTGTTTGATCCTCCCCCTCGTTACCTGATTAGTGTTTGAGTTCTCCCACCTGTTCCCTCTTGATTTGTTCCCTATTTAAGTTCCTTCATGTTTGCAGTCTGTGTTGGATCTTTTGTTCCCTGGTGTTATTCATGGTCAGTGTATGGTATTTCAGTTCAAGTTCAGTTTTATGTTTTGTTGAGTATGTTTTCCCCCTCGTGGGTTTTTGCTTTGTGTTTTGTTTTATTTTGTTAATAAATCATCCCTTCACTGCACTTTTGTTAAGTGTATCGTGACAACAAATTTCTCAACATTTTAAAGTTTAAATGACAGAAATAGCTGAAAGTATGCAGAAGTAGTAGGCTTTGAAAGCAGAAGGAGCATAAAGCAGAATTTGAAGAATTCTCCATTGACTTCCATGTTTAAAAAAAATGCACAAAAAGCTTAATAATTTAAAAAGTATACAGGTTATAAAAAAGAAAAGTAATAGCACACATGTCCTTGAAAAGCTGCACATTTTGATACTTGAATGGTTTTTGTAGCACAAAGTAGAGGGGAGAAGAAAGCGACCGAAAAACGTACGGAAGAATACGGAATAATAAAGATTTGGATAACAAGTGAGAATGCTTGAAGCATTCACACTAATAAGTATGGACAATAACAATAGTGTTGCTTTGCAAGCACCACTAATAAGTATGGAGGATAACAATAGTGTTGCTTTGCAAGCACCACTAATAACTAGAAAAATTGCATTTCCTGCGGAATATGCGTGTGAATGCTTCAAAAGCTTAACTTAAATGCTTAAACAAATGCAAAATATTGCAGTTCAAACAACAGCAAAACAGAGCAAAAAAGAAAAAAAGCTTAATTCAAATGCATTTAATAAGCTGAAATGCAAAACAAGATCCAAAAAATTGTAGAAAACTAGAAGTTTACTTAGAGAGGTAAAGAGAGCTACAGAGGTAAAGAAATATAGGGGTAGAGAAAGAGACAGAGGTAGAGAAGTAAAGGAGTACAAAAAAGAAAGGTAGAGAAAGACAGGGGATAGATAGATAGATAGATAGATAGATAGATAGATAGATACATAGATACATAGATACATAGATAGATAATTAGAAAGAAAGAAAGAAAGAAAGAAAGAAAGAAAGGATTAGTTAGAAAGAAAGAAAGGAAGAAAATAATTAGTTAGAAAGAAAGATGGATTTGAAAGAAAGAAAGAATTAGTGAGAAAGAAAGGATTAGTTAGTTAGAAAGAAAGATGGATTTGATAGATAGATAGATAGATAGATAGATAGATAGATAGATAGATAGATAGATAGATAGATAGATAGATAGATGGATGGATTATTAGAAAGAAAGAAAGAAAGATTGATTAGGTAGAAAGAAAGAAAGAAAAAAAGAAAGAAAGAAAGATGGATTAGGTAGAAAGAAAGAAAGAAAGAAAGAAAGAAAGAAAGAAGGATTAGGTAGAAAGGAAGAAAGAAAGATGGATTAGGTAGATAGATAGATAGATAGATAGATAGATAGATAGATAGATAGATAGATAGATAGATAGATTATTCGAAATAAAGAAAAGGAAAGAAAGAAAGAAAGAAAGAAAGAAAGAAGAAAGAAAGATTAGTTAGAAAGAAATATGGATTTGAAAGAAAGAAAAAAAGGATTAGTAAGAAAGAAATATGAATTTGAAAGAAAGAAAGAAAGAAAGAAAGAAAGAAAGGATTAGTTAGAAAGAAAGATGGATTTGAAAGGACAAAAAAGGAAAGAAAGGATTAGTTAGAAATAAAGAAAGGATTAGTTAGAAAGAAAGAAAGAAAGAAAGATTAGTTAGAAAGAAAGAAAGATAGATCAGTTAAAAAGATAGATAGTATAGTTAGAAAGAAAAAGATTAATTAAAAAGAAAGATAGTATAGTTAGAAAGAAAGAAAGATAGATTATCTAGAAAGAAAGATAAATTAGTTAGAAATATAGATAGATAGATAGATAGATAGATAGATAGATAGATAGATAGATACATAGATACATAGATAGATACACAGATAGATACATAGATAGATAGATCATTTGAACACAGAAAGTCAAATAGACAGGCAGATGGATAGAAGAGGATAAAAGGAAGAGTAGAAAGGAGAAGAGATTAGGAAAGGAGGGGAGAATAGGAGGACAGGAGGAGTAGAGGATTGGAGCAGGAGAAGAGGAGGGAAGAGATACGGAGTACAGGAGAAGTAGAAGCATAAATGCAACAAAAACTTGTAGTATCCTTCAGAAAAGAGCTGAGTGACTTTCCACCAATCAGAACACAGGACCAATTATGTGTGTCTCCCTTTGATCTTTGCTAATCAGCATCACCTGTGCAATCAGCTTTCCTATTTAGACATAGGCCAAAATTGCTGATACTTGGCCTCGAACAAACCTCAATAGAGACAAAACTATAGGTTGTATTGGCGAAATGACCTGACCGTGAGCAAGACAAGGCCTTTGTGAATGATGTGATGTATTTTTTTTTTTTGTGGATAGAGTTAAAAAAAAGGGACCACTTTGGCAAGTTAAAAAACTGGTTCGTAATGCTCTGATCACAAAAGTTTGACCTGAATGTATAATTGCTGCCAATGGAGGACTGTCTGTCACTCTTGTCCTTTGGAAGGACACAGAGAAAAAACTATAAGTCCCAGGGATTTACTAAACACACGAGAGGAACCACAACAAAAATACCTACGTTTCAAGTATAATTTTATGCCCGAAGAGTGAAAATTGTGGCCAGGCCAGCGATTTAAAAATTATTTTTTAGCATTAGTTTTCAAGCTGGCTCACTCTAGCTTATGACATCACGTGCTCTAGCTCTGAACAGTCTCTCTCATTCACTCCCATTATAATTTCAGAAACGGGTTGAAAAACATCATGAGACTAAAGTAGAGATTGTGAAAAAAGTATAATAGATATCAAAAAGTTGAATACAACTTTAATAGCTGACAAATTTCTCAACATTTTAAAGTTTAAATGATAGAAATAGCTGAAAGTATGCAGAAGTAGTAGGCAATGAAAGCAGAAGGAGCATGAAGCAGAATTTGAAGAATTCTCCATTGACTTCCATGTTAAAAAAATGCACAAAAAGCTTAATAATTTAAAAAGTATAAAGGTTATAAACAAGAAAAGTAATAGCACACATGTCCTTGAAAAGCTGCACATTTTGATACTTGAATGGTTTTTGCAGCCAGCACAAAGTAGAGAGGAGAAGAAAGCGACCGAAAAACGTACGGAAGAATACGGAATAATAAGAAAGATTTGGATTTCAAGAGTGTGAATGCTTGAAGCATTCACACTAATAAGTATGAAGGATAACAATAGTGTTGCTTTGCAAGCACCACTAATAAGTATGGAGGATAACAATAGTGTTGCTTTGCAAGCACCACTAATAATAAGTATGAAGGATAACAATAGTGTTGCTTTGCAAGCACCACTAATAAGTATGGAGGATAACAATAGTGTTGCTTTGCAAGTACCACTAATAAGTATGGAGGATAACAATAGTGTTGCTTTGCAAGCACCACTAATAAGTTTAAATAGGATTTCAGTAAGTTGGCTTTCTCAAGCCAACTTAATGCACTGACCATCACTCACTCATGTTGTGTTCTCTGCGTTCGGGGGGCATCAGTGGAAGTTCTGTGGGTGTTTGGGGTGGACAAATTTTCTCTCAACTGAACAAATGTGTCATTCCAGTTCGGGACCATTGTTGCGGTGACGTCACTATTTTGGGGTAGCACGGGGCCACTATTTTTTTCCATCAGCAAAAATTAACTTTGCATTGCTTAGCCTACCATCCATTAGTCATAGAAACAAATGATTTGAGTGATAAACCTAGGATGATACTATCGCAGTGCACACATAAACTGAAATTACTTATTTACAGCTCCACATTGAAAGCACAGTGAAGAGAAAACACAATTGTTTTTGTTTGTTTTTTATTAAAAAAAGAAATGTATATTATATGCACACTAAACAGGCGAAATTTTGCATTTCATGTCGTAAACTTTGATACCAAACTTAGGTGAAGAGTTCAAAGAGTACAACAGAATATTTAATTGCCGAATGATGCAAAAAAAAAAAAAAAAAAAAAAAAAAAAAAAAAAACCATGGCAACCAGAAAGCAGGCTGGGAACTCAGTTTTTGCCATTTGGCATTATGCCAGCACGGCAAACAAAGAAGCTCCAAATTTCTCAGATCCTGATGCCTGTAGAGAAAATTCGACACTTTTGAAAACTAGTACATTATTTAATTATTTAGGGTTGCATTAGGTTATTTTTTTTTTAAAGAAATTGGTATCACATGTTTGTCATTAGCTTTTTATTCTTTCTTCTTTTTTAAGACAATTTCCAGGAGACCAATTAGTTAGTTGAAGATGCAATTACTAGCTAGAAGCTAATTAATAACTTAAAAAAAGAAGAAGAGTAACTTACCCAGCACTGGTCAAGAACTGAGTATACTGTACACCACTGTACTAATTACTCTCTTTAAAAAGTATTTCATTACTTTACTCCCAAACTACTTTTTCAAGGGGAAAGTAATTCAATTACATTAAATTGCTTGGTAATGAATTACACCCAACACTGTTTTTGGATAAGTTAAGAAGTTCTTTTTTAAGTTCTTTACTAATGATCAGCATTATACAGTACAGTTGTGTACAGAATGTGAAGTTCTTGATCAAAACAATGAGGAAAACCTCAACCTCACTGAAAAAAGTGACATTTTAATTTGTTTTATTTGAATTCGGAAGCAACCCCTTTTTTATTTTTATTGTTTTTTTTTTACTTAAACGTGATGTTTGTAGTCACAAAATCAGAGAGGCTCCTCCTTCAACATCTATTCAAAGGCAGTCACAGGAGACAGCTATGTTTTTATTTAATCTTCTGAGGTGCATGTTAAAAACAAGTGTAAATGGACAAAAGCTTTTTTTTCCATTTAAAGAACTCCAATCCAAAAGAATATCATCATTAAATACACCATAAAAACTGCCACACCCACACATGTAAATGCAATACATTTATTAATCAATCAAATCTCATTAATTAAACAATATCTCTGCATAAAAAAAGAAAATTCTGCATGTAAAAACTGCACCAGAGAATAAGCCAGCAAGCACTCTCAAGTGTTCCTGTGAGATGCAAAAAGAAGAGACAGACAAAACACATTAACCAAAGACTGTGGGGGAGGCAATGACCTAGTTAGGGAGAAATGACTACATGAGGAACAGCACTGAGCTCTAAGCAGTATCTCCATAGTTTACATATATGAGACTTAAAAAAAAAAAAAAAAAAATAGAACAGTGTAATTAGTAGTGTCTGTGGATACCACTACAGACAAATGTACAGATACCTCAAAAGAAAGTGAGTGTAAGGCTAACGCTTTATTATTAAAGTCAGATGCTTTTACTGTTCAGATCTTCAATTGAATATGTATTAAACATACTCTTGAAGTGCTATATCTGTCTGTAAGGAACTAACAAGTGTGTGTTATAAATGAGAAAGGTCCTCAAAGATGCTGAATTGTAACAACACTTCAGTACTGTCAGTACAACAGAATCGAAACGGTCTCTGATCAGTTCAGAAAACAGGTTCATCATCCTGTGATGTGTCAGGCTATGAGGGATGTCTGATTATCCTACAGATTTAGTGGTATAACAGGCCAGTACTTGGGCTGTTTTTTGTCACAGTTGCGATCAAATTTGAGCTGCATGGCTGTTTCCATCCCCTGAATTTTTGCTGCATCTTTACCATACAGCTTTTTCATTTCTGCGGTCCTCCTCTCTCCCGGACGCTCTGAAGGAGGCAGGCTGCTGCGCCAGGAAACTCTGTGCAAGTCTTGGTCAGCCAGTACATAAGAGTCCTGCTTCTCTGCCTCCATCTGCTGAATTTTCTCTACATAGCAGAGAAAGAAGAATTGTCATGACTAGGAACTCCTGACATTAATTAATGTTTTGCTTTAGGATAGAGATTTTATACAAGACATCAAGGGGCAACTAAACTCAGTGCCAAAATCAAGCAAACAAAAACTCCCTGAAAAATCAAACACTAAATCTTTAACTGTACGTTCACACCGCCGCCGACTTGAGCGTCAAAGAAGCTCTGGCCGCTCTGTCAAGGACGCTTATCAAAAAGTACGGGGAAGCTTGCTGACGCTTTGAACGCTCTGACTCTGCAGGGAGAATGGAAGTATCACAACATGAAATGTAATAAACAGAAAAAAAAACAAGCAATACATTGAATGTATTGCTAAATATCTAAATATCTCGTCAACTTTTATGATTTTGTGCTCAACAGCAAATAATTGTGGTGGGCACAAACCATACTTATTTTAAGAGAACCCTTATTTAATGTGGTCTAGTTTGTGTGTTTATTTACCTTTTGTTGATCATTTCTGAGAATGAGGGTATGTCACAAAACATGTTGGAATCAACCTAGGTGAGTTCATCTCAATTGGTTATTTTTGTTTTTAAGTGATTACCTCTATTTACAATATTATTTTAAAGTGCCCCTATTATGGATTTTTGAAAATGACCTTTCATGTAGTGTGTAACAGCTGTAAGTGAAGGAAAAAATCCTGCAAAGTTTTAAATCTGAAACAGCACCGTATATAAAGTTATTGTCTTTCAAAAGTAAGAGACGACTGAGTCAATGAAATGAATCGTTTTTCAAATGAGAAATAAGCCACGAGACAAAGTGACGTCAAGACGAAACATTAACATATTGCACGTCCACTTATTGCACGTGCAGACAGCAGGGAAAACTTGAACCCCCTCACTTGATTCCTGTGGATACTGGACAGCATCATTTTGAGAAGACGCTTTGCCCTACAATAGGGGATTATCACGCTTCCGGGTTTCATGGGCGGGATTTGTAAACTTTGTGCATGTCCACTTCCGACGCAGTTCAACAATGCCTGAGACGAATGCTATTTATGTCACTACTCTGTTCCACTTTGTAAATCTAACCAACAACGCCAACCCCACTTAAGTTTTCATGGATTCCTGACTGAATTGAGTATAAGGAAGAAATGGATTAAAACTTTAAAATAAAACCAGGTAGCACGTTTGTTTGCAGCCGGCACTTTAGTGAATCAGACTAATTTACCAGGGATGCTGTATAAATAAACTTAGTGTAGTCCTTCATCAGTTTGCCAACGAGATCGGTGATTCAACGGAAATGGCAGTGCAAAAAGATCACAGAATCCGGAAGTACTACGTATCAGAGTGATAATCCCCTATGTGAACTTTTTTTTTCACTGCCCAAGGACAATCATGTGAAGAATCAGTGGTTAAAATTAATCTTTACCACAATATCACAGCAGTATAATCCAAAGCTTTTGCTATTTTTCCTTTATTTTACTGACAACGACTTTTTCTAAAATCTCACATCTTCTCAAAAAGTTCAATGCAGAATTCGCAAACGACTTTATCTTGAAAGATGGTGTTCAAAATACTTAGTTTTGAGTGACATTGTGAAGGTTTCCTGCTAACTGGCTAACTCATGTAATACTTCTACTAATCATTTGTGAGCCACTATTACCTAAAACTGTCTATTAATGCAGATTGTCAATCTTTCCTCAAAGTAGTGAGAATGACAAAGCATGGAGCAAGATTTATTTTACCAATGTTTGTTACATCAGTCATTCATGGTAGAGCTCGGAGAATGCATGCACGTTATTGATACATTTTCCACATGTTCACCGCAATAAATACTCAATAAATATAAAAGTAACTTACAAGTAAAGTAAGCGGTTTGTTGATGGACATGCACTTGTTAAAGGATTAGTTCACTTTTGAAAAAACTTTTGCTGATAATTTACTCACCCCCATGTCATCCAATATGTCCATGTCTTTCTTTCCTCAGTCGAAAAAAAATTAAGGTTTTTGATGAAAACATTCCAGGATTTTTCCATATAATGGACTTACATGGGAACCAAATGGTCCAAGGTCGAAAAGACAGTTAATAACAGTTTCAGATGCAGCTTCAAATGTCTTTAAACGACGCCAGACGATGAATAAGGGTCTTATCATGCGAAACAATCGATTATTTCAAAACTTATTCCAAAAATGTAACTTTTCTAAGGACAAATGCTAGCCTTGCTCTATTCTGTGAGGCGCGTTTGTAACGTCACGCAATACGCAATTACGTTCAAAAGGTCACGGGCGACGTAGCCGGAAGTACAGAATCAAAATCCTCCGACATCGTTGTTTTACCTTTTAATTCCTTTTTTTGTAAACGGCGTTTGAGTTAGTTTGCACGTTCAACCTATGCGTTCAACTTGTAAACACTGACTCTGTACTTAGGGCTATGTCGCCCGTGACCTTTTGAACGTAATTACGTATTACGTGACGTTACAAATGCGCCTCACAGAATAGAGGAAGGATAGCATTTGTCCTTAGAAAAGTTACATTTTGGAATAAGTTTTGAAATAACCGATCGTTTCGCATGATAAGACCCTTATTCATCGTCTGGTGTCATTTAAAGACATTTGAAGCTGCATCTGAAACTGTTATTAACTGTCTTTTGGACCTTGGACCGTCTGGTTCCTATGCAAGTCCATTATATGGAGAAAAATCCTGGAATGTTTTCATCAAAAACCTTAATTTTTTTACGACTGAGGAAAGAAAGACATGGACATCTTGGATGACATGGGGGTGAGTAAATTATCAGCAAAAGTTTTTTTCAAAAGTGAACTAATCCTTTAATGCTTTTAGTTAGGAATTACAGTTGAAACATCTCATAATGTACATAAAACACAGAGTAGTGTTTTACTAAGAAATGTTCTGCTGGAGTTATCCTTGTGATGGAGGTTTGAGTTGAATAATTAGTTCTTCCAATGTTTCATCACATTCGCACTCGGATTGATATGGTAAAATCTAAGTCAATGTTCATTACTCTATTTAGTTTACGATGTAGGAACTAGGAAACCTCAGGACAAGCAGAGCTGACGTTATGGCAATGGCCGTTTTTGTTTGACGCGCGCTGTACGCTGTGAACCAATCACAACAGACTGAGCTGTCTGTCTGGCCAATCAGAGCAGAGTAGCTCGCAGAAAGGCGGGATTTAGAGATGATTCATCTGATGAGTCATTTGAGAATCATTGAAAATGTGGTGATGTGCAAATGCATTTTAAGAGAAAATTAAACAGTTTTTTTTACCTTTGATGCATGTAAACCTATTGTAGGAGACTCCAGAACAACAGTAGGAAACTTTAAAATAGCATATTAGGGCCACTTTAAGACTTATTAGGACTTTGAAGTTTGCAGGCTTGTGGTCCCCAGCCTCCTGCTTGAATAGTTTCAGACCTCATTGATAAGCTATTATGCTCATTTCTCAAAACACATGAATAAAATATTATTATATCAAGCACCAAAAGTTCACCTACCAAAAACATATAGGTGAAGATGATTCTGATTTTATTACATTATAGTAAAAATGTCCTGGAAATCAATTTAAGAGAGCTTTTAAAGCTTGCTTCAGGATACTTACTTTTTTACCTTTCTTTCCAGACAAGCATTTTATTATTATTTTTTTTTTTTAATTGGACAAGTGAATGGCTGATTTGCTTACAAGCACATAACGTGTATTAATACGTGAGCCCTGCAAAGATGGATTCTGTGGTTATTACAAATATAATCAAAAGTTTAAAGATTTTAAAAATACCAATACATAGATTGTAAAATGAAGTATTTTTTTTTCCTAAACAAAATAGGAAAATTAAAAATGGTTAAGCAACCTTGAGATGGATTAGCAAATATGAATTTGCAGCATAAATAAAAAACACTGTACCATTTGACTGGAAGTTGAAAAGCCTATATATTTCCTCATTCAAATACACTTTAAATATAAGATCACATACCATCAGGACAGTATTTAACAATGAATAAAGCACAATTTTTTTATTTATTTTTTTGCAATGAATCATTAGGGTGCATCTCTCCTTTAAGCACGCTTAATGTGTAAAACAGATGGCCAGTGTACAGAGACCGCATAGCAGTGGGGACAATCTGGGATAATGAGCCTGGCTCATTTTCTGATTTTTTTTTTTTATATTTTTTTTTTACCTAACTCTGTCCTGATTCTCATTTCATATTGGTCTTGGTTTTTGTTCTGCTATTATATTATTTCTAATTTTTGTTTGTTTGCTTGCTTAGATTATGAATTTCTCTTTGTCTTTCACAATGCTTCATGTTTTATAACTGGTTGTTATCAAACACATCATTGTACGTTATATGTTGAGGCTGAGTTACCACCTCTGGCTATGCGGAGAAGTTACTATTTTAGTCAATCTGTGGTAGAACTCCTTATTTGTCACCCAGCTTATCCAATATAAATGTATATTAAAACCTTCACTCAATTGTCCAGATATATATATATATATATATATATATATAGACCATTTCACAAGATGTAAACAACACTGGTCCAGAAGCACTTCCTGTTTCAGTTTGTAACTATTTTCTTTATTTCACATGTAAAGAAAACATCTTAAAGATGTTTGTTTAACTTTTTGATTCAGTTTTAAATGTTCTGTTGGTTGTATTTTATCCCAGCTTTTATGTAGTGTTAAAAAACTGAAACAGGAAGTGCTTCTGGACCAGTGTTGTTTACATCTTGTGAAATGGTCTATATATATATACACCCCATAAGACTTTCGTTCATCTTCGGAACACAAATTAAGATATTTTTTATTAAATCTGAGAGCTGTCTCACTTCTTCATAGGCTTATTGGCCCTCATTTATCAAAAGTGCGTACACCAAATTTCCAGCGTACACCTGGTGTACACCCAAAACCACGGTGACTTTGAGATTTATCAATATGGACGTTGGCGTACAGCACACTCAAATCCTACACCAGCTCAGGAGGTGGTGTACGCACATTTTGAGTTAGTGAGGAAATGCGCAGAAAAATTCCTAACACCACAAAACGCACTGACATACTAAAAGATATATTATGACCCACTGTAAAAAAAATAAATAAAAATAAACAAACAAAAAAACAACAACATAGTAGGCTAATTATAAACTTCAGTGTTTATTTTTATGCAACATGGAATTCAATGTTTAATTTGTGTGGCTTTACCAAAGCATTTGATTTGTAAGCATGTATTCCTTCAGTTGCGAGCCTGTGGACTTTACCCTGCCGTTTCAGGATTAGCTATCCCCGGTAGGTGCGCACGGACTCGGTTCGGTAATGAAAGGCTTTCAATGACCAAAAAATAATTCAGACTGACAAAATAATAAAAAATAAATTCTTCTTTTAAATGATAATAATAATACAAATAATAATAACGACATCCTTCTTCTAAATATCAATAAGCGTCATTAAATCATAATAAGAAGAATATTACAAATTGTCATGCAATTATTAATGTGAATGAATGTTAGGCTACTTCATTATCATCACTATTATACATGTGACATGAATCGTGATTCGAAATTGAATGCTCATTTCAAAAGACGTGCTGTAAAATAATGCATTGTGCTAGGTCATTTCGGCTCCACGTCGGAGAAGTTTCTCATCTTTGCCGTCTTCCGTGTGTCCATGGCGGAAAATAAGGGCGTGGGGGGGGAGCGTAGACTTGAATATTTAGGGGCGTGTTATTTTAATGACGATCGTTTTCGGCCGCGGGATTTATCAAGGGCAGCCATTGCGTACACCTGGATTTCAAAGGTACGCACAGCTTCATAAATCAGGCGGTGAGAGGAGTGCAAGCATAACCTTACACCAAAATATACGCCCGTTTCTACGCAAGAATGATAAATGAGGGCCATTGTAATTGATACTTGCCAGCCCAGAAAGCTATTAAAGACATCGTTAAAATCGTCCAAGTGACTACAGTGGCCCAACCATAAGTTTATCAAGCAACAAGAATACATTTTGTGCACAAAAAAAAAACAAAACAACAACTTAACTTTGTTCAACTATTAATTTTCTTCTGTGTGGGCGAATAGTGAACAGCGAATAGCTTCTGGGTTGTAGGTCAGAATGTAGGCTCACTATTGGCCAGCACCACACACATGACCAGTGTCAGCACCTGTGGCTGGCTGTGCAGCTGCTTCGCGCTCATTAAGGAATATAGGTAGTTTTGCTGTATTCATTCAGTTAGAACGCTACTTGTTTTTGGCTTTAGTTGACAAAATGTCTTAGAAATCTAAACCGTTTGTCTGGCTGCATTTTACAAAAAAAATGACAAGACAAGACTGTGGAGTGCAAGCTATGCGGCCTATTATTATTAGGATTGAAACGCCTAGATCGGCTGGACAAAAGTTAACCCATAGCTTTGAAATTAAAGAAGACTATACATACAGCCTGTATAAACGAGAGCTTTTGCAAGGATTTTTCATCAGGCTATGTGGCAGTTTTAGGCCCTGTTTACACGAGAACGCTCGCGGGTGAAAACGTAAAAATATTTTATCGGATGTGCCTTTTGTTTACACGGCGACGGCGTTTTTGAGGCTTAAAAACGCAAAAAAGTGAAACCACCCTCCAGAGTGGAAATCTTAAAAACGCTCCACCGCCGCGTTCCCGTGTAAAGGGTAAAAACGCAAAAGTCTGCTTGACAGTGAAGGTTGTACGCAGGCGTGCGGACTTGGGGCCTCATGTATAAAACTTTGCGTAGATTTCATCCTTAAAGTGTGCGTACGCACATAAGGCAGAATTTGCTTACGCACAAAAGTTTTCAGATTTATAAAACCGTTCGTACGCCAGAACCTGCGCAGAATTCACTTTATAAATCCCAGTCAGCGGGAGATTATGCGCACGTGCGTCTCCTCCCCGAAATAACCATATATGGAGATTACAACGCCTAGTTTTACTATGCATATCCTCATCTGCATATCATTTGCATATGATTATTCATCCACGTGATACCAAGTTTAACGGTACAAGACGTTAGGAAAATATGAAATGCGGATGTGCCGTCACATTATTACAAACATTTTTTTTAGTAGCCTATATCCTTGCCTTGTTTTTGAATGAATAAATAAAATAGTGTTAAATACATTTCAGAGAAAGTTTTTCTCAATCTTTTCCACTGGCCAAATAGTATTTTTAATTGATTTATATTTTAATGGATAATGGAAGAGATTTTAAGGGAAGAGATAGACATGGTTGTGCATTATTTGCACGAAACAGTTTTCTCAGACAATCTCTAGTTAAAACATCAAAACGCAGCATGCCAGAAGAAAAGTGTTCAAAAGCAATGCATTCACAACAAATAGGTCTATTTCTATTTATTGAATATATATATATATATATATATATATATTGTAACTTCTCAGTAATGATTTCATGTAGTTTAAGAGTTTAACTCCATTAATGAGAATGGCATATTTAATCTAAATGTTTATATCAAAAGTAAAACATAGTTTAAACCATTCTCTTATTTATTTAAACTGTTATTGTGAATATGGACTGCATTTATGATTTGGACTCATAATGAAGATTTACGGTTTTACTCCATCTGCCGTTAGATTATAGGCTATATGCGTCAGTTTCACCAAACGGCCCAATGCGCGTGCAGGCGCGGTCATTTAAGAAGGGATGGATGTTTGCTTCAAGTGATGATAGGTTTGTGAAATTATATTTGTATTATCTTTCTGTAGATGTATAATTTTCTTTAGACTCTCTGTCTAATAGTAAGCAAAAAGACATTTGACTCCAGCTCACCATTGGTGTCGCCAAAACCCATACTCTTCTAAAAGAGTGCGTACGCACGGTGAAGAGCATCCTTACGGTGCGCACTTATTTACGCCAAGTTTATTTTTTATAAATCCCGATGTGCGCGTGGAAAAATGCGTACGCATATTTCTATGCCCATTTTGTGCGTACGCAACGTTTATACATGAGGCCCTTGGTGTTGTTGTAGTATGCACTCCTAGCCGCCTGAAGTATACTACATTGAATTTCACACACTTTTGCGTCACCATTTGCACGTGGATTTCCCACACAAAACGCTCGTCTAAACGCAGAATAAAAAGTGATGACGCAACGCCACTTTTGCGTTTTCTCTTCAGAATCGTTTCCGTGTAAACATAGCCTAAGCAGTTATATTTTTTGTAGCGTGGGGTGTGGTCAGGTGCGCGATTGTGACTGTCACTATAAACCTAGGACAGAGCTCCTCATTTTGCAGTTAAAAAAAAAAATCACTTAATTTTTAAAGAAATGTATTATGATTATAGTATGTGTGTATATATATATATTTGTGTGTGTGTGTGTGTATTTATGTTTTTTCGTTGTTTTATAAATGCTCTATGACAATTGTTTAAAAAATGTTCTATCAAAACATAGCGTCTTTTTTTTTTTTTTCTAGTCAACTGATCGTTGCGCAGGACAAGACTTTGGTCGACTAAGGATTTCTTTGGTTGACTACAGCCCTAGTCTTCACATATGCTTTTAAACACTTACTGAGTTCCTGCTTGTGTCGCTCTGTCTGGGCAAAGTATTGTCGCAGGTCTTCTGAGATGTCCATGTTGCTGACGTCACACTCAATCTGGCTCTCCTCCATCTCACTGTCTGAATCATTCTCCCTTTTTTCTTCTCTACCTGTGGTTATGTCTCTGTGATTTTTCCTCCAACTCTTATCTGCAAGCCAATCTGAGTAACGCTGCATGGTAGAGGGGCACATGGAATACAGTGCCTGGAAGTGTCCAACCTCCAAAGCTTTCCTGTATGCCTGCTTGTGCCTCTGTCGCCAGTTCATGGCCTGCTGGTAGTGCTTCCAATAACGGGCATAAACTGGATGGGCATACCACACCTCTCCATCACCCTGACTGGCCTGCAACATAACAAATGCTGATAATGTCTTATGAGTATAGTGCTTGGAATTATCACTCGGTGTTAAATTTACAATTAATCATACAGCCTTGAATCAACTAATTATCGATGACATTTGGAAACATTTTTCAATATCTACAAATAAGGTCTTATTTGTAAAAATTAGAAAAGGCACTAATTAACTTGAACTAACAATAAAAAATATGTTAGTTAAACAATATGTTAAACCTTTGAAAAAGTTAGTTAAACGCTAATGTTAGTTCACATTAACTAATATATACAACTTGTCATGTCTTAGCAAATGCTGAGATTAACAAAGATTAATAAATGCTGTATTATAAATTATTGTTCATCGTTAGTTCATGTTAACTATTGACAAATTAAATCTAATAAAATGCTAAGATACTAGTAAATTACTGTGAAGTGTAAGACCTACCATTATGAAGAGGCGATAAGTAAATGGAATCTATTTATGTACCTGTTAGAGAGAAAGGATTATTTCAATTACGAGTAAACATATTACTCATATGCAGCACTGGACAGGAAAATAATATAATTTAGCGATATAACACATGTAAAATCAAGTGAGTTGTTACCTAGTAATTTCGAAGAAAGGAGCAGGATTACTCTTAAAACAACAACATGCGTACTATAACCAATAATTAAACGTATCATGTAGTAAAACGACAGCATAGTTTAATTGTACTTCTCACCACTCATATTGTCCCCTAACACGAGCATGGAGAGGAGATGGCAGGCTGTAGCGTCGACCAACGTCTTCTTCTTCTTCTTCTTCTTCTTCTTCTTCTTCTTTGTCGTTTTACGGCGGTTGGCATCCAACATTTAAGGTGCATTACCGCCACCTACTATACTGGAGTGTGGACCGGAGATAAAATAAATACCTAAATAACCCATCAACTAAAATTAACTTTTAATTATTTTCCTCTTTTCCTTATTGAAAAAAAAAAAAAAAAAAAAAAAATTCACCTAAATCCTTTCTGCCAGTCTTGTTTCTTTTAAGAATTGCAATGCACTCATACCATTTACGGATTTCCCCAGCAATTCCCTTAGTTTTTTTTTTTTTTTTTTTTTTTATTGACAAGAAGTAACATACAAAACTCTCGCAGGGGATAGAATGTACAAAAGTATTAACCAAGCAGAAAACAACAATAGATAAAAAAAATAAAATAACAAAGAAGGGGCTATTACAAAACACACAAGTCAAAGGCAAAATAGAAAATCACATTTGGAGCGGCACACACAAGGGAGATTAATCAAAACAGTAATTTCCTGGATATATCACTATACATTTTCCTTGCAATTTTAGTAGATTTTACATTTTTCAGTGAGGTAACAAACAATTTAAAATCGTTTATAAACCAAACAAAGGAAGGCTTAGAACATCTCCACTTACTGCAATGAATATGATATTTACCCATAAGAATGATCATATTCACTAAATCTGATACTGATGAATCTATATTATCCATATAAAAGAGGATGTGTGGCAAGATGAGAGTAGGGATATTATCAATCTTGAGTGACAGCCAATTATGTAGCTCAGACCAGAAACTATTAGACATGGGGCAAAAAAAAAAACATGTGTTCCAGAGTCTCATCAGCCAACTCACAAAAAGCACAAGGATCTACTTCAAATTTAAATCTTTTTTTAAGAAAGTCAGCGACAGGGTATATCTTATAAATTATTTTTAAGTGAGTCTCTTTGACTTTAGGGGACATGGGCCATTTAATGAATTTAAAATGAGATTTTTTAATGGACAATGCACCCATATTCAGAACCTGTACACACAATCCTCTGTTATAATCAAAAAACAATTTCGATTTCAAAGCATCATTAATATATTTATTATTGCATTTACTGTCAACTAGAGCACAATCATTAATAACTAATTTTGGTAAAGTTGGTAAGGGTCTTATATTGCTATATAACAGTGTGCTTTGAATTGACAGTAATAAAGGTACCGGTATTGCTTTACAGATCTTATTGTAGTCTCTATTTGTACAGTTTAAATTATATTTGTCTAAGAAAGACTTATATTCCAAAAAATTACCATTGTCATCTATAACATCATTCACAAACACAATGCCCTTTTCATACCAATCATGCCAGAACAATGATTTCCTATTGATAATAATAACCCTATTGTTCCATAAGGTGGATCCATGCGGAGAAAAGTTATGGGCGAAAATCATTTTCCAATATTGGAGAATTTGTTTGTGGAAGTTTGATAATTTAACAGGAATTTTGGTCACCTCAAAATCACATTGCAAAAGAAAATCAAGCCCTCCTACTTTTTTAAATAGATGTCTGGGTATGTGAAACCACATAGAACCTGGTTGCGACAGAAATGTTTTTAACCAGTTAATCTTGAAGGTCCCGAACATTGCTTCAAAATCCAAAGCTTTAATCCCACCCATGTCATACTCTTTAACAAGCTGTGATTTCTTAATATAGTGAGTTTTATTTTTCCACAGGAATTGGAAAATGATTGAGTTGGCTTTCTTAACATTGCCAGATGAAACATACAAGGAATGACATTACTTTTGAAATACCTTCTGTTTTAGATAGAGTAACTCTGCCAAAGATAGTGAGGTCTCTGGTAAGCCAGCGACTCAAAGCTTTCTTCGCATCTATTAATCGGTTAGAGAAATTTACATCTTCCCTTCTGATAGCATTTTTAGATAATACTATTCCTAGATATTTCACTTCAGATTTGACCTTGATTGAAGAGATGATGGAGTCTGTTGATGAGTGAATGGGAAGTAGCTCACATTTTTCAATATTCAAAGTCAATCCTGATGCTTTAGAGAAGATCGAAACTGAATCAAGGGCAACATCAACCATGGATTTATTCCTTAAAAGGATTGCAGTGTCATCTGCAAATTGACTAATTTTAAATTCCTTGTCAAATATTGAGATTCCTTGCAAATGGGGGTTATGATTAATGAGCATTATAAGTGATTGGGTGGCTAGGATAAACAGTTTGGGAGAAATCGGGCACCCTTGTCTAATACCGCGGAGTACCTCAAACCTAGGAGTCATACCAGGATTCAGGGACACAGAACTATATATGTCAGTATAAAACATCTTAATTATTTTACAAAATTTTACAAGACTTCGAGTAAAAAGGCATGTTCGACGGTGTCAAATGCCTTATAAAAATCTAGAAATAAAATAAAGGCATCGGTATCAATGAAATCTCGATAGTCAATCATGTCTAGTAACAATCTGGTATGATTATGTATGTTTCTACCCTTTATGAAAGCTGATTGACACTCATCAATAATATGTGATAATCCCTCATTTAGACGATTAGCATAGACAAGCGCCAATAATTTATAGTCGTTGCATAACAAGGTAATTGGTCTCCAATTATCCAACAAAAGATTATCTTTGTTAGGTTTGGGGATAAGAGTGATGAGGCCGTGTTTCATAGTGGGAGAAAGATTACCTTTTGAGATACAATCTAAATATGCATTATAGAGCATTTCCCTGATATCACTCCAAAAGAAAGATAGAAACTCCGCGGTTATCCCGTCTATTCCAGGTGATTTCCCCTTAGACATCTGTCGAATTGCCAAGTCTAGCTCCTCAATTCTTAACTCATCTTCCATGAGATGTTCAAAATTATCATCAATTGTCCTTTTAAAACCCTGTATATTATTTAGGAAAAAACAACAGTCTTCTTTAGAAAAATGGGATTTATACAAATTACTATAGAATTCTTTAATTTTTTCATTAATATCTTCTTGATTTTCGACAATAACATCATTGATATTTAACTTCCGAATTTTTTTCTTTGACTGTCTTTGCTTTTCTAGACTGAAAAAATAGGAAGAGTTTTTTTCCCCTTCTTCAATCCAACGTGCCCTTGAACGAATAAAAGCTCCCTTGGCTTTTTCCAGATATAAATGGTCAAGATGGGACTGCAGATTGTTTAATTCAGTCTGCTGTTCTAATGTCAGATCATCTTTACAGCTCAGCATATTAATGTGACTAATGATGTCCCTTTGTCTTTTCTTTTTGAGTGTTGATGCTTCCTTGCTTGTCTTAATAGCTATCTGTTTGACTCTGAACTTGAACCATTCCCATTTACTCAGAGAACACATTTCCAATTCACCTACTTCTTTTACCATTTCTTTAATTACATTCTGAAACATAGTATCTTTCAAAAGGGAATTGTTAAATTTCCATATGGAGTTTATGTATTTATCTCTTCCACCTGGAGAAAGTGTCAAAGATATTACACAATGATCAGTTAGGGGTGATGCTGAGATTTCACATCTATTTACATCATTAACTATATTGTCTGAGATTAACCAATAATCCAATCTTGAGCACTGGCCATTATTAGCCGAGTTAAACCAGGTAAATTGTTTTCTGGTTGGGTTTTTCATTCTCCAATAATCTATTAGATTGGCCTTTGTGATCAAATCAATTATTATTTCATCAAATGTGTGGCAGTGTCTCTTTGATGGTAAGCGATCTAACCAAAGATCAGGGACCAGGTTAAAATCTCCCCCAATTATTACTTTTAATTATACAATTACAATTACAATTACAATTATACAATTACAATTAAATATACAATTACAACAATTATAACTATTATCTGTTGAAAACATCATTTTCCATTCTTCTAAGCACTTACTGAGCTACCCATACACACATAATAAAATGTAATTTATACCATTAATTTCTGTCGCAACCATTAGCCAATACCCAGTAGGGTCACTTTTATGATCAATTATTTTCCCAGGAAATCTATTAAATAAAATCATAACTCCTGCCGAGTGTGATGTTCCATGACTGAAAAAGATAGAGTCTCCCCATTGCAATTTCCAAAATTTTGTGTCAGCCTCAGCTGAGTGGGTTTCTTGCAAGAAAACACAATTAGCCCTTTGCTCCTTACAAAAAAAGAAAAATAGCCTTACGTTTTACATTATCTTTCAACCCCCTAGCATTTAAAGAAATAAAGGACAACATTTAGGTGATAAGTAAATAACCTATGAACAATGCACAAAAGAGTTTAACGATGTGCAGGAATGAGTAATTAGTCCTATATCAACATGTTTAATGTAACGTAACTGCCCCTCTATACACTTTAAAGGGAATAAAGGACAACAATACGAACAGCTATTATAGCGAATATCTATTTAAATACGGAATCAAGTTCATTGATGTATTTTTCTTAGTTTTGTTATATTTTTCTTACTTTTGATAGCAATATAACTTTTGTTAATAGACTACCATAACTAAAAATGACAAAATATGATCAATTTTAGGATCATTTACACAGGTAAACAAAGTAAACATTCAGTGTCACCCATATGCTGGCGTGCAAAACTATTTGGAGTCATCAACATTATGTCCAGATCATCAGATTACTTGACTTCGGATGTTCAGTGACGCGTTATCAAACAAAGTGCAGTAATGCTGATACTTACATATCGGAACTTTTGTCAATCAAACAAAAGACAAAAACGATATTTATCCGTCAAACGCGTTTAGGCTGGATTTTTGACAGCCATTCAAATGATATCAAAAGTGTTCAGTTTGGGTCTACTCTCCGGTTATCGATCAGAGCGTATCCTTCCTTTAAGAACGCCCTTTTACCTTTCTTTCTGGCTTCTTGAACCAGTGGCCACAGCTTTGTGCGTGCCTCCCGGTCTTCTTTCGAGAAGTCTTCTTTGAAACGTATGTGCATGTCTCTACACACTCTCGCATCTTTCGACTTCTTCCAAACATGGTCTCGCACCGTTCTCATCCCGAACTGAATGATGATTGCCC